TATATATATATATATATATATATATATATATATATATATATATATATATATATATATAATATATATATATAGTACTTAAAGGAATTGCCATAGAAGCTTTAAAAGGCAAAACATTCCCTTCAAAAACTCTTTGTAACAGCTGAGTGTAACAACCGTCTGCATGTCATCATACACCTTAACAAATGAGTCAGGCAGACGTAATCAATGGGTGTCATCCCAACACTTACTATACCGGTGTGTCGACTTTACACAGACATTTAAAGCTTACCTCAACCCGCTTGACTTCTGTTTACATTTACAGCATATTGTACTGCTAGACTAAATCAGTATTCTTTTATGTAATAGCCTGTATCGTAATATTCCAGCCCATACCACAAGTATAGAATTAAAAAGAATATTGTAGTCTAATGTTCCTTCGCCTTACTTTGATATTTTAATGACTAGGTTTAAGTTCTTTTTTTAGACAAAATCAATAGAAATAAATTGTCGTAAAAGTAGAGTGCGAAAATATGATAAGTGTATTTTTGGTGTACTTTTTAAATATTGTCTCCTCAATGACTTTTGTATTCTCGATATTGACTTTTTGTCTTCCCTATTCTGACTTTCGTCTTCCCTACAATAACTTTTTGTCTTCCCTATACTGAATTTTGTCGTCCATACATTGACTTTGTCTTTAAAAGAATGACTTTGTCTTCCCTACACTAAAAGTGTCTTCCCTACACTGACTTTTGTCTCCCTACATTGACTTTTGTCTTCTCTATACTGACTTTTGTCTTCCCTACACTTAATCTTGTCTAAATTGACTTTGATCTGTCTTACAATAACTTTCGTATTCCCTGCACTGACTTTTGTCTTCACTACACTGACCTTTGTCTTTTCCACACTGCCTTTTGTCTCCCCTACACTAACCGTTGTCTTCCCTACACTGATTTTTGTCTTCGCTACACTGACTTTTGTCTCTCGTACACTGACTTTCGTCTCCTCCACAATAAATTTTGTCTTCCCTCACTGACTTTTATTTCCCTAAACTGACTTTTGTCTTCCTTGTACAATAACTTTTGTCTTCCATACACTGACTTTGATTTCTTAACCCTACTTAGACCGGGCTTTTTTTGACATGGGGTGACCGGGGCGGGCTCTTTTGACCCCCCCCCCCTAACGAACTCGCGAACGGTGTGTCGTATGACCACGAAATTTTCAGAGAATGGTGTACTAGTGAAAATTTATCATATCTACAATTTTAATGTCGTTATGACGTAATATGACGTCATTATGACGTCATTAATGTGATTTTATTGGCAAAAACCGTCTAAATAGGTTTTTCCCTGAAAACTTCCCTGGTATACAACATAACTTTACCAAAAGTGTTTATGACAGAATATTAGTGTGTACTAAGTCTTATGTTGCCCATAGCAACACCGGTGACGTCATAAAATGACGTCATGCATATTTAAGATACCCGCCATCTTGGATCATCAATCTTGAATTTTCAAAAATAGTTTTTTCATGATAAAGCTTAAAATACATTGTAAACATACTAAAAAACCTTCATTCAACCCTTTTTGTAAAAAAAATGGA